AAAATATGAAAGAAATAATTTAATATTAAAATTAAAGATAATTTTATTTAGATATATATTTTTTTTTTATAAAAAATAACATAGAGGTTTCTAGAAAAACTTTTCTTTTTAATTAAGAAACTGATTGCTTAATTACAAAAAAATAATAATTATTTAGAACATTTAGAACAACTTTATCATTAAATAAAAATATTACTTAAACATATTAAATATTTTCAACAAATGATTCTTTCGATATTTTTATGTACTCTTCAAAATTATATTAGTTATTTGGACGATCACCCCAATTGAAACCTCCTGGTCTATCTTCAGGCAGTGGTACATAGTCAGGATCTACTGGTGCTCTGTCAAATATTGTTTTTCTGCAATTGCATCAAATAAAAATTTTATATTCCTTAAATTTTACTTAAATATTTAGAGTTTTATTTTTCAATAATTAAACAGGAGTAATTTGTAAATTACATTTACATAAATATAAAAAAAAATCGCTTACAATATTCGAGGAGTTGTCAGTAATTTAAATCCTCCTCTTTGGTTTGGAAAAACATCTTCTATAAAATAATACATGTGGCCTACAACCATACCCATTACATCTACCCAAAATGCATTGCCTACTAACACAGAAAATCCTAATAAAACCCATGGTAAGTAAGGGGCCTGAAAAAAGAAAAATTTTCACTTTTATAAATAATTAACTGACAAATAATGGTAAAATCAAATTCAATTTTTAATTTTTTTTGTCATTTCTATTCAACAAAATAAAACTAAAAACTTAATATCAATTTATATAAATATATATATAATTTATAGGAGAAGTTTTACCTGGAAATTTATGAGACCAAAGAAATTCATTCTAACAACTGGATTTCTTCTTGACCAGACATACACCAACATTATTGTTAAAGCTGACCTAAAAATAATAAATTGACAAAAAAGCCAAAAAACTAATAAAAAATATTTTAAGAAAAATTTTTTTATAATAGCTATTTCAAAAAAAAAGTAAATAAATTTTTAATTAAAGGATACAATCATACTGACGCCTCCGAATAAAAACATCATAATAAAGTCTGCTGTTCTCCCTCTAAATGAACCTTCTTCAAGCATTCTGCAATACCGGTAAGTGAAGATAATGTTAAAAAAAAAAGTAAATCCAATGGCTCCGAAAAACAAAAACGTTGTTATTAATCTCCATACTTGATATTGGCTAAATATCAATATGGGATTAAAATACAACTGAAATGGAGACACCAATTCCAGTTGCTAGAACACAAAAATTTTAATGCTAGGTTTAAAAAAAATTAATGATGATACTCTAATAACTTCTATTTGCTTACAACAGCTATAGTTGTAATAACGCAAGCTGTAGTATATGCTCTTGTCACGACTGGTATTTGCATATACTCCTGCCGAAATGTTTGATAAGCCATAATTTTATTAATTTTTAACTATCAATCACGACATAACTTCGGATAAAACAAAATTTGTATACATATATAAATATAACTATTATTAATTTAGTTGTAGTTTACTATCCTGCCATGACGTGTTGCAGTCAAGGTTAGCCAACTTAAAATAAATTCTTTAAATTTTTTAAATTAACCTTAAATGGCGGGATTAAAAATTTGCTTGCACCAAAAAAAAAAAAAAAAAAGAAACAATTACTACCAAGTACCAGGTAAAAGAATTTTAAAAAGTAATATTTCAAGATTCAAAATAAGAAAAAAAACAACAACAATTATAACCTTTTACAAACGAAAAAAAAAAAAAATTATTGCTATATGAAATAAATACAAAATCGGTTTGTTGTTGTTGTTGCTGTTTTTCACGGTTACGAAAATAAAAAATCAGATAATTTTTATTATTGGGCATTAGGGAATTACATCATTAATACCGATCAATGTTTATTACCTTAAAAGCAATAAAATTTTCTAAAAAAAAAAAAAGAATTATATTTTTGTGAAAACAAAGAAAAATGGAATCGAATGTCGTCATAACGGTCTCATCAAGTTAATACATATACTTGAAGCTGATAATAACGTCAAACTTTGAGCTATTTGTAGTATCTTTTAACATGTTTAATCGTAAATAGTATTATTATTGTTGACTATCATTAAATTCATAATAAAAAAAAAAAGAGAAAAAAAATTTAATTTTAACAAAGTAAAATATTTTGTGATATTTTTTCACAAAGTCTTTATTATATATATTCCACAGCAGTTTTAGGTAAGACTATATATAATCTCTTTTGATTAAATTTTTAAAACATTTGCACGTTTTGCCATATAATAATAAAAAAAAAAAATTTAATAATAATTATTTAAAATTTTTGAACAAATAAATACTTGAAAAAAAAAAAAAGGAAATTTAATTTTGTGTTAGTCATTGTTTAATTTAAAATAATAATAATAATTTTTTAAAATATGGTTATTTAAAAAAAAAAAAAAAAAAAAAAAGTTTAATACATTTTATGAGATTTATAGAGTTAAAATTTATTTAAAACAATTTTTTGATTACAACAAAAAGGTAATGAATAACCATTAATTTAATTATTTTTTCATTTTTTTTATATTTATTTTAACAATTTTTTAG